AATATCACTGATGAACATAGATGCAAAAATCCTCAACAAGGGCTTCCCTGGTGGCGCAGTGGTTGAGAGTCCGCCTGCCGATGCAGGGGACACGGGTTCGTGCCCCGGTCCGGGAAGATCCCACATGCCGCGGAGTGGCTAGGCACGTGAGTCATGGCCGCTGAGCCTGCGCGCCCGGAGCCTGGGCTCCGCAACGGGAGAAGCCACAGCAGTGAGAGGCCCACGTATCACAAAAACATCAAAACAAAACTAGGAAACAAAATCCAACAGCATATTAAAAGGATCATACACCATGATGAAGTGGGGTTTATCCCAGGAATGCAAGGATTCTTCAATATATGCAAATCAATCAATGTGATACATCATATTAACAAACCGAAGGAAAAAAAACATATGATAATCTCAATAGATGCAGAAAAACCTTTTGACAAATTCAACACCATTTATGATAAAAACTCTCCAGAAAGTAGGAATAGAGGGAACCTATCTCAAAATAATAAAGGCCATAAATGACAAACCCACAGCCAACATCATTCTCAATGGTGAAAAACTAAAACAATTTCCTCTAAGATCAGGAACAAGACAAAATTGCCCACTCTCACCACCTTTATTCAACATAGTTTTGGAAGTTTTAGCCACAGCAATCAGAGAAGAAAAAGAAATAAAAGGAATCCAAATCAGAAAAGAAGAAGTAAAGCTGTCACTGTTTGCAGATGACATGATACTATATAGAGAATCCTAAAGATGCTACCAGAAAACTACCAGAGCTACTTAATGAATGTGGTAAAGTAGCAGGATACAAAATTAATGCACAGAAATCTCTTGCATTCCTATACACTAATGATGAAAAATCTGAAAGAGAAGTTAAGGAAACACTCCCATTTACCACTGCAACAAAAAGAATAAAATACCTAGGAATAAACCTACCTAAGGAGACAAAAGACCTGTATGCAGAAAACTATAAGACACTGATGAAAGAAATTAAAAATGATACAAACAGATGGAGAGATATACCATGTTCTTGGATTGGAAGAATCAACATTGTGAAAATGACTATACTACCCAAAGCAATCTACAGATTCAATGAAATCCCTGTCAAACCACCAATGGCATTTTTCACAGAACTAGAACAAAAAATTTCACAATTTGTATGGAAACACAAAGACCCCGAATAGCCAAAGCAATCTAGAGAGTGAAAAACAGAGCTGGAGGAATCAGTCTCCCTGACATTGGACTATACTACAAAGCTACAGTAATCAAGAGAGCATGGTACTGGCACAAAAACAGAAATATAGATCAATGGAACAGGATAGAAAGCCCAGAGATAAACCCACGCACATATGGTCACCCTATCTTTGATACAGGAGGTGAGACTATACAATGGAGAAAAGACACTGTCTTCAATAAGTGGTGCTGGGAAAACTGGACAGGTACATGTAAAAGAATGAAATTAGAACACTTCCTAACACCATATACAAAAATAAATGCAAAATGGATTAAAGACCTAAATGTAAGGCCAGACACTATATAACTCTTAGAGGAAAACATAGGCATAACACTCTATGACATAAATCACAACAAGATCCTTTTTGACCCACCTCCTAGAGAAATGGAAATAAAAACAAAAATAAACAAATGGGACCTAATGAAACTTAAAAGCTCTTGCACAGCAAAGGAAACCATAAACAAGACAAAAACACAACTGTCAGAGTGGAAGAAAATATTTGCAAACAAAGCAACTGACAAAGGATTAATTTCCACAATATAGAAGCAGCTCATGCAGCTTAATATCAAAAAAAACAAACAACCCAGTCCAAAAATGAGGAGAAGACCTAAATGGACATTTCTCCAAGGAAGATATACAGATTGCCAACAAACACATGAAAGACTGCTCAACATCACTAATCATTAGAGAAATGCAAATCAAAAGCACAATGAGGTATCACCTCATAACGGTCAGAATGGCCATCATCAAAAAATCTACAAACAATAAATGCTGGAGAGGGTGTGGAGAAAAGGGACCCTCTTGCACTGTTGGTGGGAATGTAAATTGATACAGCCACTATGGAGAACAGTATGGAGGTTCCTTAAAAAACTAAAAACAGAACTCCCATTTAACCCAGCAATCCCACTACTGGGCATATACCCTGAGGAAACCACAATTCAAAAAGAGTCATGTACCACAGTGTTCACTGCAGCTCTATTTGCAATAGCCAGGACATGGAAGCAGTCTTTGTGTCCATCAACAGATGAATGGATTGAGAGGATGTGGCACATGTACACAATGGAATATTGCTCAGCAATATTGAGTTAAAAAGAAATGAAATTGAGTTATTTGTAGTGAGGTGGATGGACCTAGAGACTATCATACAGAGTGAAGTTAAGTCAGAAAGAGAAAAACAAATACCGTATGATAAAACATATATATGGAATCTAAAAAAAAAAAAAAAAAAAAGGTTCTGATGACCTAGGGGCAGGACAGGAATAAAGAGGTAGACATAGAGAGTGGACCTGAGGACACAGGGAGAGGGAAGGGTAAGCTGGGACAAAGAGAAAGAGTAGCACTGACACATATACACTACCAAATGTAAAATAGACAGCTAGTGGGAAGCAGCCACATAGCACAGGGAGATTAGCTCAGTGCTTTGTGACCACCCAGAGGGGTGGGATAGGGAGGGTGGGAGGAAGACGCAAGAGGGAGGAGATATGGGGATATATGTATATGTATAGCTGATTAACTTTGTTATAAAGCAGAAACTAACACACCATTGTGAAGCAACTATACTCCAATAAAGATATTAAAAAAAATTACTGCAACAAAAAAAATCTTCAGTCTTGCAGACTTAGAGACCCACATAAAAAGACTGTAAAAATGTCACTTCCCTTATTTTGATAAATAATAAGCAATTCTTGAATTTCAAACAGAGAAACAAAAAAGAATCAATTACAGTTGACCCTTGAACATCTTGGATGTTAGGGATGCCAACACTCCACACAGTGGAAAATTCGAGTATAACTTAACATTTGGCCCTCCATTCCTGTGGTTCTGAATCTCCAAATTCAACGAGCCCAGGTTAGTGTAGTACTGTAATATTTAGCATTGAAAAAAATCCAATTATAAGTGGATTCATGCAGCTCAAACCCACGTTGTTCAAGAGTCAACTGTATTTCATCAAACATTTACTGAGAGTGTTCTGTGGGCTAGGTACTATGCTTAGATGCTGAGGATTAAAAGCACAGTCCCTGCTCTTAAAGGGACTAATTTAGTGCAGGAATCTGCAAACTTTCTATAAAAAGGCAGAGAGTAAAAAATTTAAGCTTTCCAGGTCATAACATCTCTAAAGCAACTATTTAACTCTGACATAGTAGCACAAAAGCAGACATAGCCAATATGTAAATAAAGAAGCATGACTATTTTCCAATAAAACATATTTTATTAATTCCTATAAGTTTCATGGGTCACAAAATATTATTCTTCTTTTGATTTTTCAACCAGTTGAAAATGTTAAAAAAAATAATAAAATTCCTAGCTTGCTACCCATACAAAAACAGGTGGCAGGGCAGATCTGGCCCATGCGCTGTAGCGTGCCAACTCTGGATCTAGCAGGTAAGCCTGGAGAGGAAAGAGAGGAGTACCATACTCCTTGTGTGTATATACACAATATATATATTTACCATTCATATACAGTCTCAGCAACTAGCAGTAGGCTTTAAGAACAGACCTGTTATTTATCTCTGTATCTCTTCAGTCTTAATAGAAACCAACTTTTGTGCTTTGTTTTTTATACTTATGCTAAAACTGATACTTTCTCTAAAACTTTCAGAAATTTTCAAATTTTTCCAAAAAATACTTAGACCTAAGCATTTAGTTTTATTTTCTTGAGTTTATATCTTAACAACAAAAGACCAATTATTTCGTACGTGTATCACGTGATGATTATGATTTATGACACATCAATAATAAATACTGTCTGACTGCTAGTCCTAAAGTACCATCTAGAGATAGAAACATATTATATATTTCCTCAAATATCTCCATGTTTTTTGTTTATATTGCTTCCTTTCACCCTCTAATTTTGAGGGTTTTTAAAATGAATATAAAAGCAGAAAAAGAAAAACCTGCCTAACATCTACCACTGTGGAGCATGGTAACTCAAAGCAAGCAGAACACTTCTCAGGAGCAGCAGAACTATGATAACTGTTGAAGCTGGGTGACAGGTTCACTGGAGTTCTTTGGGGTGTATCTGAAAATTTTCATAATTCCTGAGACTATGATAGAGAAAGAAGGTTGACTTATGAGGTCCATTAAATGCCTCAGCAGTGTTAGTTAGAGAGTCCCCAGCACTGTGAGGAAGGCTCATGAATAGTGCCACCTCACAGGCAGGTAGACCACACAGGGCCAAGGCAAAGGCCAGCTTAAAGAATTAGGGGCATGTGACAAACTTGTTAAGTTTCTACTTTAACAGCTTTTTACAGTTTTTCTGTTAAAGTTATTTTATTTTACGCTTTTAAAGTGACTTTTAGTTGTTTTCAGTGCATTTTAGATACAAGGTTCATTTGGGTTCTGTAACAGAATACAATTAGTATGTATAACCTGCTGTGAAAACAAATGTTTCAAATATAGTATCAGTAACACTGGTGTCAAAAGCTAAAATTTTAAGGGAAGAGTGAGTCAGTTCATTCCCATTTCATTCCTTTAATATCACACATTAGGAACAAATTGTTTCATAATATTTACTTTTATGATATTTTAAATTTTAGGCCAGTATAGTACATGATTTTTTTTTCTTCTACTCAACATTTTCAAGATTATTATAGTTAAGTAAGTGCAATCCTTGGTTACTGAAAATAAAAAGTATGCAAATAGTATTCACCTCACTTTAATGGTCTTTACCCAGTCTTTCATATAATAAATGCAGTCCTAATATTAATAAGGATCTTTCACTCTGCATTATATAACTTGGTATGGAAAAATAAAATTAAAATGAACAGTAGCCAACCTGTGCTTTCCTCATGTATACCAAAGGTTCTTTAAGATGTTCAGGAGGTGCAGCAGGATGACTGGGTAAAGGAAACCTGGGGACAAAAAGAGGAAGCTGAGTATTATACATTACTCTTTTTTAAAAAAAAATGAACAAAGAATGCATGTTTTTATTTATTCACTCAACAACCACAGACCTGAGAGCCCACTGCCATGTACTGGTTATATACAGGTAAACAGGCCCCAGACCTCAAAAGGTTTACAAACCAAAAGCAAGCAAGAAAAACTACAAAAGCACCACAAAAGCATATATAGGGGGCAAAGAAGTCAGAGTTATGTATTTGATACAATTTTCCCTTATGCTAAGAATTGAAAAGTATATACATTACTCTTAATAATTAACCAGTTTGCCTGGTTAGAAATTACTTACCTCTGTAGTCCATGATAGAAATGAAATAGATATTTGTTAGCAGTTCTATGTGCTTACACAAGGTACAACAACCTAATAAAACTTTAATTCTTATCCTTCTAGCATAGTAGTTTTAAATTAACAATTTAATGACTTGTTAAAAGTTAAAGTGAATTCATAAATTTAGGTAAATTTAAAAATTATTTAGCTCTGTAAGTGCTCACATGAAAGTTTTCACAACTGTTAATTTTTTAGTATGTAAGTTCTATAACACTTAGAGAAATTTTTTTTAAGTCTGAAGTCTAAAAAAGTCCATTAACTTACTAATATATCAACTTTTCTCATTTCTCCCAATTTCCTTTTCCATAGGATTGAAATGATAGTAAAAATACTATCTTTTGTAATAGCCATGTTTTAGTATTAATATATTACATACTACATTAATTCACAAATTTAATAAAATTTTAATGTCTTGAAAATTATGTTTTCTATGTAACATTACATTTTATATTCAAAATTTTTATTAAGAAAACAGATTTATTTATTCAACAAATATTTGAGCCATTCTAAGTACTAAGTATATGGTAGGATTAAGACAGTTATCTCCTGTTCTTATGTACCTAATATTCTAGTGAAGAAAGAGTCAATATTTATAAAAACAAACAAATAAATAAATCAATAGAATAATATAAAATAGTAATAAGTGCCATGAGAAAATGAGAGCAGGATAGAGTCAAAAGTGATTTGGAAGGGCAGGGAAGGTGTCTGGAAAAGCTAATATTGGAACCAAGACATGAGTGAAAAGGAGCCAACCATTCAAAGATCTGGGGGAAGAACATTCTAAGTAAAAGGACAGCAAGCACAAGACTCTGAGGTGGGAAAATATGGAATGTTTAAAAATCAGAAAAAGCCAGGATGGTTGAAATGTAATGACTGAGGCACAGAGTGATATAAAATCATAGAGAAGACAATAGGAGAACACAACAATTTAACATTTACTTAGTTTTCAATCTCTTTCACAACATATAGCTCCCATTGAAATTAATCATATAACTACAGCAAAGCAACCACGTTCTAACAGTCAAGAATCATACACTGAATTCTCAAGAAATTCCTCATCCAAAGGGGGACATCCAAAGGGGCACACCAGACAGTTTCACTAACTGATTATTTCTGGCTAATTGTTTTTATCTACTAAAATCTGCATACCATGTACCTAAACAAATCACCTTTTCCCACTCACAAGTGAAAAAAAAATTGATAATCTCTAGATATCTCAGTATTTCTTCTTATATGCAAGATAGTTTAAAAGCTATATATTTTATACCACTCACTACATCATTTGTAAAGAGACGTGATTTATAATTAAATATAACTCTTAAAAATTCTTCCATTGTAATGGTAATTATTTCTAAATTTAATAAAACTTAGAAATTTAGGACTGAAACTTGAGAGCACTTACTGATGAACTTAAGGGTTATTTAATGCTCAAAGAAATTTATCCATAAAAAAAGGTAAGAAGTGACAACCCCAAACCATTCATATTAAACCAAAATAAAGTTAGATATTTATTCAATTATAAATATTTAATGAGAACCTACTAAGTTCAAGGTAATAGAGATACAGCAGGGAACAAAACATGTTAAAATCTCTGTCCTTGGGACTTCCCTGGAGGTACAGTGATTAAGACTCCATGCTCCCAATGGAGGGGGCAAAGGTTCGATCCCTCGTCGGGGAAGATCTCATATGCCACATCACACAGCCAAAACAATAAATAAAATGAAATAGAATACAAAAGAATAAAACAAAATAAAATAAAATCTCTGTCCTCACGTATTTTACATTTAGTAATACAAAGAGATGAGGGTCAGTAGATAGGAATAATGCAGAAACCTCCATATCACTCTTGACTCCTCCCTCTTCCTGTCTCCCTAAATCCCCATAAATGCCACTCATCTTCTCTACCCCACTGACAGTTTTAGGCAACCAACATTTCTCTCCTGCATTCATCTGACAGATTCATAAGCAGTCTCCCCTGCTTCCACACTATTTTCAACCTATTTGCCAATTTGCCTGGCGGTTAGTCAGGAGCAGTGTCTTCCTTATTCACCAGTGATTGTATTTCCAGTGTCTAGCATAATGCCTGGCACATACTAGATATCCAGTACATTGTTGAATAAATAAAATGCAAATGTGGTTATGTCACTACTTTGCTTAAAAATGCTAAAATGGCACCCAAATGCTTTTAGGATTCAGTCTACAAATCCTTGAGTAAGAAGCACATCCTTGCCTACAGATCTAGCATAATTCTTTCCTATGCCCCTTTCTACTCTACCACCCAACTTTTGTTGCCATACAACTTTTGTTCCTCCAATATACTGCATTCTTTTCCACGTGTAAACACCTTTGAACCTGTTTTTCCCTCGCGCCTAAAGCATTTTTCTTCTCTACCCCTTCCCCTAAATCCAGCTCAGCTTTTTGATCTCAGTCTGAGTATTATTTCCTGTGATAAGTCGTCATGACATCCCCAATGTGAGTTAAGTGCCTGCCCTATGTACTCCTTGTACTTATCCTATTATAGTGCTTACTATATTGTACTATAATTGCCTCTTTAAATTCTCTGTGCCCCACTGGGATGTAAGCTCCATAGAAAGCAAAGACTATCTGCCTAGCTTGTTCACTATCCCAGCACCTAGCTCTGTACATAACACATAACAAGCACATAGTAATATTTAAAACTAAGAGGGCAGGGTGGAGTCAAGATGGCAGTGTGGGAAGACACCAAGTTAACGCCTCCCCATAATTAGGTTCCCTGCCGGCCGCTGGTGGAGGACCCTAACGCCCAAGGAGATGGGAGGAACCCCCAAGTGAACTGGTAGGACATGGGGGAACTGAAGGGGGAGGAAAAGTGGAGGCCAGACAGGATCAGCACCCCTGAGGCTGGGGAGATCAGGAAAGGCACGTGGGAGGGGCCCTCAGGGAGGAGTGGAGGAAGAGCTGAGGGCATTTGCCCCACTGACTTGGGCACAGGGAGACTGCTGAGCTCCCAAGCTGGTCCCCTGCCCTCCAAGGGCCCCCACTCCCCATGGCCACATTGGTCCTGGGGGCATAGGAAGGAGGCCGAGGGGATAAAAGGAGAGGCAGGCAGGAGGGCCCCTCTGAAACCAGAGGAACAGGAGAGGAGAGGAGGGTGTCTGCCCCACCCACTCGAGCCTGGAAATCCTGCTGGGCTCCCAGGTGAGTTCCCCCGCCCTCTGAGACCAGGGGTGGGGAGCATACCTGGGCCCCTTCTGTTCCGTTGAGCCTATGCCCCACCTCCCACAGCCCATAGGGCCTTTTCCAGCCCTGTGGGTCCTAAGCATAGGCCCTGCCCACTGCCCCAAACTTGCCCTTGCTTAGGTCCCGCCCTCCAGAGCCAAGGCCTTCCCCACCTGCCCCTTTTTTTATCTCTTCCCTCCTCCTCTTTTTTACTATGGTGGTACTGTTCTACCTTCTGGTTGTTGATTCAGCTATATTTTTATTTTTATATACTTTCTAATATATCTGTTAGTTTCCTAGTCTAATATTTTTTTAACTTGGTTATTGTTCTCTCTCTCTTTTTTTTTTTTTGCCACACCATGTGGCTTGCAGGATCTTGGTTCATGAACCAGGGGTCGGGCCCAAGCTCCTATGGTGGGTGCTCTGAGTCCAAACCACTGGACTAACAGAAAACCTCAGAACCCAGGGAATATTCATCACAGTGAGGTCTCACTGAGGTCCTCATCTCAGCACCAAACCCAGCTCTACCCCAAATCATACAAACTCCAGTGTTGGAAGCCTCAGGCCAAACAACCAGTAAGACAGAAACACAATGCCACTCAAAAAAAAAAAAAAGAGAGACGGCCAAAAATTATGTGACAGATGAAGGAGCAAGGTAAAAACCTACAAGACCAAATAAATGAAGAGGAAATAGGCAATCTACCTGAAAAACAATTCAGAGAAAAAACAGTAAAGATGAATCACACACAAGGTTGTCCACTCTCAACACTATTATTCAACATAGTTTTGGAAGTTTTAGCCACAGCCATCAGAGAAGAAAAACAAATAAAAGGAAACCAAATTGGAAAAGAAGTAAAGCCGTCACTGTTTGTAAATGACATGATACTATACATAGGGAATACTAAAGATGCTACCAGAAAACTACTAGAGTTTATCAATGAATTTGGTAAAGTAGCAGGATACAAAATTAATGCACAGAAATCTCTTGCATTCCTATACACTAATGATGAAAAATCTGTAAGAGAAATTAAGGAAACACTCCCATTTACCACTGCAACAAAAAGAATAAAACCTAGGAATAAACCTATCTAAGGAGACAAAAGATCTGTATGCAGAAAACTATAAGACACTGAAGAAAGGAATTAAAGATGATACAAACAGAAGGAGAGATATACCATGTTCTTGGATTGGAAGAATCAACATTGTGAAAGTGACTACACTACGCAAAGCAATCTACAGATTCAATGCAACCCCTATCAAACCACCAATGGCATTTTTCACAGAACTAGAACAAAAACTTTCATAATTTGTATGGAAACACAAAAGACCCCGAATAGCAAAGGCAATCTTGAGAAAGAAAAATGGAGCTGGAGGAAACAGGCTCCCGGACATCAGACTATACTACAAAGCTATAGTAATCAAGACGGT